TTTTTTTTTTTTTTTTTTTTGGTACCGGGGATTGAACTTGGGTCCTTGTGCTTGCAAGGCAGGCCACCGAACCACTGAGCTAAATCCCCAGCCCAAGACCCTATCTCAAAAAAACAAAAATAAATTAAAAAGTAAATACCAATAAAAATACAAAAGATTGGGGCTACTGCTCAATGTGAAGCCATGGGTTCAATCCCTAGTACCGTCAAAAGAAAAAGAAAAAAGACTTCAGGAAGAAAAACCTCAGGAAGATATTGAGAATAACTCGACTCTAGACGGCTCAATTGGTGCCACTCAACTGGTCCAAAAACAGAAGAAAAGGAGGATAAAGAGGAGGAGACGAAGACCAATTTTTAAAAACAGGAGGTGACAGGGCCAGGGATTTAGCTCAGTGGCAACGCACCTGCCCTGCAAGTGCAAGGTCCTGAGTTCAATCCCCAGTATAAAAACAACAACAACAACAAACAGGAGGTGACAAGAAAGAAGAAAAAAGTCTTTAAATGCTTAGAGATCCCAAAAGTCTGCCTAAGTATTCTAAATCCCACAAAACTGAAAATGTACAATCATTCTATCCTTAACTCAATAAATATAATATGCCAGATTTGTGTTAAGAGGCAGGAATAACAAAATTAAAAGAACTGGTCCTTTTGGTCCTCCTCTGAATCACAGAAAACACACACACACACACACACACACACACACACACACACAGGCAAACCATTTAAAAGCAGTTGTATCACTGCTCAAATGAGGGAATGGGCAAAGTACAGGGAAGAAAGGTGGAGCCAACACTGGGCTGGTTCTCGGACAGTTCCTTCTCCCTCAACATTTTTTACAATGGAGACTGAAGAACTAAAATTCCTGATTTCCCAGCCTCCTTAGCAGCAAAAAATGGCCACATGCCCCAGTCTAGGCTATAGTGTGACAAGAGGAGTTGCTAGACTTCCACGGAAAGGTTTTTTTTTTTTTTTTCCTTTTGTTTGAACAAGGACAGCTAACCAGGATGACCTACTTGAGTTCTTTACTCCCTTCTTCCTGAAACACCAGCACACCTGTCAACGTAGCAGATTTCTTTTAAAACTATAAGGTTACAATCAAGAGGACAAATATCTTCCTACTAAACGATGGAGAAGTTTCTAGAGTCCTTGTTACAGGAGGAAAACAAGCCCCTATCTGGCAAAGTCACCGTAGTAGTTTCCAACTGCTGTTCTTAACAAATTTTATCAAACTTAGTGGCTTAAAAAAATACCAATTTATTACCTTAAGTTGTAGATCAGAAAACCCACGAGGGTCTCACTGGGCAAAACCTCAGTGTTGGCAGGGGTTCGAGAGGGTCATCTGTGTCCTTGCCTGTCCCAGCTTCTAGGGCCCACTGGCTCCTTCCTTCATCTTCCAAGCCAGCAGTAAGGAGTCAATGCCTCACACGGCACCACTCTGACTTCTTCCATCTCTTCCTCCCGTTTTAAGATCAGGACTATGTTGGGCCCACCCAGATGATCCACGATCCTCTCTGCCTGTCAGAGTCCTTCATTTGATCTCATTTGCAAAGTGCCCTCACAGGTTCCAGGGATTGGGACGTGGACCTCTTTTCAGGCTGTTATGCTGCCTAAAGTAGCTATACAGCATGGAAGGAAGTTTTCTGTTATTTATAGCAAAATGCACTCCAAACCGAGACCCAGCTCCCAGGTCTACCTGAGGAAGGCAGACAAGGCTTCACAGAGGAGGGAGCCTCCTAACAAGATCAGAAGGTTGAAGAGGAATGGGTCACATGCACAGTGTGGAGAGGGCATCCCAGGGAGATGAGATGGGAATGGCTATGCACAGTATGTCCAGAAACTACTCGAATTGCT